AGAGAGAGAGAGAGAGAGAGAGAGAGAGAGAGAGAGAGAGAGAGAGAGAGAGCATGCAACACGGACACTTTTACTTTCACGTAACTGGATCGCAGCCGCGTCCGATGCAACTTATCGATGCGATTGTTTATTTTGTTACGATCGCGTGCTCGCTTTCTACGCGTTCGATACCTGCGCAATACCTGTTTAAACACCACGATCGGAAACGATCGCGTGCGTGTTTCATGCGTGCTCTACGTGTGACGCGCGCTGCGCTGCATCCTGCGGTGCGTCCTGCGGTGCACCATATGCTTCCGTGGCGAACGATTCAATGTCACGAAGTTATTCGAACCTCGGTCAATTATATGATTATCTTATGTTCGTTGACCCTCATTCCAAAACGTTCCCGTAAATCTTCGTCGCGTTGTATTACTAGACAAGCGGGTATTATGCATTTACGATATTACGATTTACGATACGGTATTATGCATTTTTCTGCTTTCTTTTGCATCTTGTCATTACGAACGAGTCTTGCTTCTGACAATATTCTTAGCTGTGCATAAATCAGAATTATCCAGAGAGAAAGATGTACGGAGTTCAAGATGCATTGCGAATCGTTGTCAAGACGAGTGTTGTAATGGACATCTAAATTAGAATTTTCTAAATATGAACGTTATTAATTTCTGTTGCAATAAATAGAAAATTCCTTGTCGTACTCTAGAGATTCATCAAGTACAAAGAAGTTTTAGTTAATGTAGTTGAAGTTAATGAAGTTAATGTAGCGTTTCTCGATGAAGATTCTTAGAAAAATGATAAGCGAGGCGTTCGCGATTCACGCGGCAGGGGAAGCACGTTGGTCCGACGGGTCTGCTCGGACCCTGGCGTCGGAGACGAGGGCCACTCGTGGCAAGAGGATTTAGCAGGTGTATTTCCGTTTCCTCGTCGTAGCGACGGCCGGTAAATCGGAACAAAAGAATGTGTTCGGGTCGTGTGTTCTCTTGGTAGTTAGCATTGTTTCCAAGATGCGGAAAGTCTTGGTCTTGATACACGGGTGGCACTCTAAATTCATGAAGCGGCGCTTTCAGCGGCAGCTGCCCCAATTTCGCGATTGCTGTAACGTCATAACTCCGCGCGTAGGTGCGCTACAGAACGGTGGCGGCCCGAGACTCTTGACCCTCTTATCTTTCTCCGTTTCGCGATTCTCCAGCCGCCATCTTTTCCTGTCTTTTCTCCTGTTATTTGTGCGGTACCTTATTTGTGTGAAAATATGTATACGCACGCGCGCGCGCGCGCGTTTCCCGGGCTGACCTTTTACGCCCTCCGGCAGTGGAGGGACCGCTGTTACCGTTGTTGCCGTTTTTGTTGGTTCAACCACTTACCAATAATGCTTCATTCGCTTTCACAATAATTGCGTTTTTCTTCTCTCTTTCACCCTTTCTATATTTCTCTCGCTCGTTCTTCACCGGCTCGAATTGCTCGATTCCGCAATTTTCCCATCGCGAGGAACGCGATTCTCGTTCGCGGGATTTCTGATGAAATTCCCATTCGCGCCGCGCCAGGCCGCACCCCCACCGAATAACTTTTCAAATCTTTATTCCCTGAAATTCTGTTCTCTGTTACACCCCCCTCCCCCCGGGGTAATTTGTTTCCGACGCACGTGTCCCTGTTGCGAGACACTCGGCTTTCGCCTTTCTTCCGCGCTTTCTTACCGTAGCCCGGTTGCCCTTTGACCGCGGTCCCGGCGAGAATCTGGCTCCGTAATTACTAGACCGCGAGTTCCACGGGCTCTCCGATTCCGCGAGAACTCGGTTACGATTCTCGTTGCTACCAGGGAAGACCATTTTCCATCTGCTCGCCGCATCTTTGCGAATTCTGTGTGAAGAACGGCACGCGCACACCCTGTGGATCGGTGCTTGAAAACGGGCCGAAAGTTGCAGCAGCGTTTTACACAGCCGGGATTTAAACGGGCGAATCCGTAATCGCTCCGGTTCCGCATCCGCGTCAGATCGAATATTCATGAACCCGGGGAGCTACTTAATATAGCTAATTAAATTAGCAATTCCTTTTTGCGCGACCGGTTTCGAAACGTTCCCGACTGGTCGGTCGATCGTGAGCCGTGAGAGGAAAACTCGCGAGCCGTTCGCGGGCCGTTCGGCGCAGCTTATCGATCGTCGAACAATTTTAAACGTCGCTGGCACACGGCTAGAGAATGACAGCGCCTTGGAAACGTGTCTCGAAATCGATCGCGCGACCAGCAAGGCGGTCCGAAAACGGCAACTTTGTTCAACCGTGAACACACCTGCAGGTGGAATCCGCGCGCGCGACCACTGAGTTACGACATCATTTATTTAGGATTACCAAAGCGAATCGATCGGACGCGCGATCCGGTTACCATTATCTTACATC